AAAAGCTCGTCACGTTTTCACCCGTAACGAGGGAGGAAGTCCCATGGACTTCGTCAACATGAATATCGTATAAAATCGAACCGGCTGCAGTACAACGAGTTTCATCAGTCCTCATCTGGTAAGATCGACCAACGAATCTCTTCTTCATGCACTTTTATTCGTAAGGAAAGTCCCTCAAACAATGTTATCTCAGGAGATTAATCGAAACCAAGTTTATCTTCGTATCTACGAAATTCATATTGTTCTTGATGCTAGTTTCACTCCAATTCACCTAGATCTTTTAGCTTATATCAGTCATGCAGTTAAGGGTAGATTGAGCACCCGGTAGTGCGTATTCAGAAAAAGCCTAAAATGGTAGTAATGTTATTATTAGTACTAACGAGCTACCAACTAAAATGACTAGCCGATATCCACTTAGCTAGACTCTATTATCAAAGTTTTTCGTCATTACTACAGCGCAGATTAATTAGCGTTACTATGCACATATGCCGTAAAGATTTAATATCAGATGCATTATTGTTCATTTACTCTTTTTAATTATCTCTCTCTTCTCTCTTCTTTTGCGTTGAGAACGAAGTTGAGCACACGGTCACTCAACTGCATTTTTTACAGTGGCCTGATCAGCACACTCCGAAGAAGCAGGATTTAGAACAACTTATTGATATGTACAACTCAGTGGATGCTGAGAAGAGAGACCTCAGGAAGTATGGACCCAATATTATTCATTGCAGGTATTATTAAGTCACAGTCAATCAACAGGGCTACTTTAAACCGTAAAAATTCCGCATTTACCATAAAATTAATTAATTTTTGTTTACTTTTTAATCATCCCATAGTTGCACCAAGACTGTTATCTTTCCATCTACAGGGGGAGAAGGGGCAGCTCTCATTTTTCTCTTAAAATCGTGTCACATCAGTGAGTAGTGTACTTTCCTAAAAAATAACAGCATAGCGTTGAGTTAAATACATTTTTTTAATGTGACAATGTTTCGAAGCTAGCAGTACTTCGCGGAATAAAAATTCCGGCAATCTGGGTCGTTTACATCAATTCAAAGAATAATAGCAATATTTCCCATAGTCTTATGATTATCTCATCCAGAGTTGACTTCGACCTCATTTACGGCAGGAGCCCTCTCCTTTATGCTGTACGTCATTCGAGTTAATTCCAAGCCTAAACGGCCTTGCTTAGTTCGCAACTTTAGTGTGGACTTTCATTTGCCGCCACACTCGATATGCTACCGAAATATGAGCCTTAGTTGCTCCTGATCGATTAAGGCAATGTGGAGACTGATGATGGAATGTCCCAGAATTAAGCAATCGGACCTTAGGGGTGACTTTGAAGACGAGCTGAGCCTCATGCGGAAGATTCAATTAACGGTCCTACATCACCTTAAGCGACCTAAGTTGTCCAAAGTTTTAATCACGGTCTAGAAATTTTTTCGAAACCTACTCACTACTCATTTATGCTACTCACCTTTTAGCAGTTCCACTACAATTCTGTATAAGTTGGGTGAACCTTGCTTTGCCTCGAATGTCATGTTTTGCTGTGTAAGTGAACGGGTCGTGGGGCTCAAGGGCTAGCACGTCTGCCCCGGAGCACATATTTTCAAGGCTCGAATCTCGCCTTGAATGTAGGGACGATCAAAGGCTGAATGAATGGGGATTTTGGTGCACGATCCGTCCCTGCAAAACGGCATAACAGACCATCAGATTCGCGGTAGCTGAGACCAACACTAGAGACATCCTTAAGGGCTCACCAGCTGGGTGTGACCATACCCAAAATTAGGGTTGGCCTAAAACCAGTCCCACTTTAACAGACAACTTATGGCATATCTTTAGAAATGGGGCTGTCGTCAGAGAGTGGGCCAATTTCAGCAGGAAGGATGACTTACAAATGGATAATGATGTACTTAAACCAGTTGTAGATTCGCTGAAATGCCTAACCTCCTGTCTTTAACTGTCTTCTATCTTCAGCGCTGGTTCTGGGCGTACTGGAACCTTCATCGCCATCGACATGCTACTGCGTCAAGTGAAGGCAAAACACAATTGGATCGACCCGTTCGGAATCGGTTTGCACTTGCGACAAATGCGCAAATCCATGATCGGTTCTAAGGTTAGCCTAACTTTATACGCAATTAGAAATGACAATTTCATTTTAATAGCATTTTGACTTGCAATAAACACCTCATTTCAAATAAGAATCAGGTCTTAATATCGATGGTTGTTTGTGATGAATCTGGTATCTTCGCAACTCCCTCTAAGGGATCCAAAGAACTTAGCAACAA